AGCACCATCCTTGGAAATGCCATCACGACATTAGTCACCAGAGCACTAATTCATACAGCTATACATGGATAAAATGTTTTTATAGAAGCACCTTTGAGCTGCTAAGGGCTAGATCATGGGTCTTTCAGATAAGACAAGCTGTAAGTCAAATACAATACTTTATACACACTGCAATAGTGCGTTTCACCTGTCTTGAGACTAGAATCCCTTTGTATAGATCTGTATCTTTATAGTAACTACTCAACATAGCGAACACTGTCTCGACAAGGATTCCTATCCTTCCTTTCTATACCTTTCCACTCTACTTTCATTTTCTGGATGAAAGAGCAGCTTACCCCCAAAAAAGGAACATGTGTTAACAGACTGAGCAGTACCGCTTGCTGTTGTATTAAAAGGGTGTAAATCCCACAACTCTGTCATCCACTTGAAAGAGACAGACACAGCTGGCAAACTCCACTGCCATAAGGCACCAAAACTACTTTCCATTTCTCCTGCACTGAAGAACTGGTCACAGCACCAAGCCTCTACTTCATCAGCACATTTTTTGCAAATGCTCAGCCAGATGTGATACAGAGTTGGTGCTATCACCAGCAGGAAGGAAGGAGGAATAACAAGAGTTACATAAAGTAACATCATTCATGGGGTGCAGACCACCACCCTGGTTCCTCACCATCACTAGAAGCACAAAGGCTATCGCCTGAGCTATTAGTCTCTCTTTTCTAGAGGCTCAATGGGTAACTCTAACAGAAAAGGGGAACATCACATACATTTTAAGTGCTGTTTGAAAACAGATGAGGAAAAAACCAGAAGAACCCCAAACTTCATACTTGATATACATGTTGAGCATCCTTTTCCCACTGGGGAAAATGCATCTCATTGCCAATTCAAAGCTGTTTCAGGGAAAGACTTCTCAATCATTTTTCGGGAGATGCACTGGTTGACATTAAAATTAAGGTAAAGGGCATTTTCAAAAGTTCTTTTACTTGGAGACTGAATATGGTTTAGTTCCATGGGAAAGCAGTCCTGCATCTCACTGTGGCAGCATCACAGTAAAGGGCTTGATCTCCCTGCACACAATCTGCACTTCCAATGCCTACACTTGTTTAAAGCCTCTGAACACAGTTTTAAGCTGTAGCTCCTTTAAAATCCCTTGACATACAAAAGAGCATCCTTTGCTAAAATGATCATGCTCAAAATTTCACTGCTTACAAGCAAAATATTTCACTTGCTTCCATACTCAAAATACTTGAATAAAACCACCACACAGTGACAAGAATGAGACTTTAATCAGTTTTAAGTGGAGTTTTAACACTAAGAGATAAAGGGTTGTTAAACACAATAACAAACGGACATCTGATTTGTATGAGGCATTATCCTGTACATGTCATACTTGGGTTTTGTGTATTCTCAGTTACACACAGAGCCACTGTTGCACAGCACAATAGTATTTGAAGAGGCTGAATCAGAGTAAGGCTGCTTAACAGACTGATTTTTTTTTTTTTAGTATCTATATATATATATGCTATATGAAAACAGACTGAAAATTTGAACCGGCAGAGAAAGGCAGCTCTGCCAAACACTGCAGTTGGAGCCCCTTTTAGTGCACAGTTCCACCCCATCCATCTGCATGCATGACACTTTCTAACAGTATTTAAAAGGTAAACGAGGCACTTCGTGGCAACCGCAGGCATCGTTAACATATTGCACACATTTGCTATGACTAAACATGGAACTTGCACACTAACATCCTATTTTTTTTAGTATTTTTCTATTATTTTTTTTTAATTTTGAAAGCTGAAACATTTGATGCTGCATGTAAACTCCACTTCAGTTTACGATGTATGCCACAGGAACAAATCCAGAAGCTATTTATACAACTGCCCTTTAATAGCTGTGGCAAATAGTTTGAGTGGGGCTACCAATGACATGGGGATGCTTCAGGGCCTCACAGCAAGCTCTTACCAAAGTGATGCCTTCAAGTAGTTTCAGACGTGTAAGCCGTTGCACATCCAAAAAGGTTTAAGCATACAGTCCAGAAACTCAAGGAAAGATTACCTACAGAATGCATTTCAAGCTAATTATGGATATTGTCATAAATAAAGTTTTAATAAGGACTCAAAAACCTTTCAGTCATAGTAATTCTTGTCAACTTCTATGGGGGTGGTAACTGAAATAAAGTATAGGATAGTATGTATAATATATATATTTATATATATAATATATATATAATGCCATTTTTCCATTTCCAATGACTACACCATAAAATGTAAGCAAGGCTGCTCAAAGACATCGAAACATTCAAAAAAAATCAAAACCCTCATTCCAACCTTCACATTCCAAAGGAAAAATAACAGTGCAAAAGCCCATTGCGTCATGATTTCCAATCTGGCCCTCAGTGTTACATAGCAGAACCGCACCAACCCCATTTTTACTACCCAAAGTGGGACACGCAGCAGTGTCAATATCTGAATACTTTTAAAGCAAAACCATTTTTGTTTATTAGCCAACATAATTTTCAACTGTTAAAAAACACACAATGTAAAACATGATTTTAATATATTCATCAACGATTTAGATGAGGGAATTGAGTGTACTATCAGCAAGTTTGCTGATGACACTAAGCTGGGAGGGGTGGCCGACACGCCAGAAGGCTGTGCTGCCATCCAGAGAGACCTGGACAGGCTGGAGAGCTGGGCGGGGAATAACTTGATGAAATATAACAAGGGAAAGTGTAGAGTCCTGCATCTGGGCAGGAACAACCCCAGGTTCCAGTACAGGCTGGGGAACGACCTGTTAGAGAGCAGTGTAGGGGAGAGGGACCTGGGGGTCCTGGTGGACGACAGGGTGACCATGAGCCGACACTGTGCCCTTGTGGCCAAGAAGGCCAATGGCATCCTGGGTTGTATTAGAAGGGGGGTGGTTAGTAGGTCGAGAGAGGTCCTCCTTCCCCTCTACTCTGCCCTGGTGAGACCTCATCTGGAATATTGTGTCCAGTTCTGGGCCCCTCAGTTTAAGAAGGACAGGGACCTGCTGGAGAGAGTCCAGCGCAGGGCAACTAAGATGATTAAGGGAGTGGAGCATCTCCCTTATGAGGAAAGACTGAGGGAGCTGGGTCTCTATAGTTTGGAGGAGATTGAGGGGTGACCTTATTAGTGTATATAAATATATAAAGGGGGAGTGTCACGAGGATGGAGCCAGGCTCTTCTCAGTGGCAAACAATGAAAGGACAAGGGGTAATGGGTACAAATTGGAGCACAAGAGATTCCACTTAAACCTGAGAAGAAACTTCTTCTCAGTGAGGGTGACGGAACACTGGAACAGGCTGCCCAGGGAGGTTGTGGAATCTCCTTGTTTGGAGACATTCAAAACCCGCCTGGACACGTTCCTGTGTAACCTTATCTAGGTGTTCCTGCTCCGGCAGGGGGATTGGACTAGATGATCTTCTGAGGTCCCTTCCAATCTCTAACATACTGTGATACTGTGAAGGGTAAGAGCTAAATGTCACATCCCAAAGTAACCACCTCCTGCTTGTCGATAACAGTGGGAATAATGAGCGCTGGAACCAGCAATCTTGAACCATTAAGCTACTGAAGTGTAATTAAACCTATAAGAAAAAAGTTATCGGCTTTGTTAGAAGTTAGAATCATTAATCTGAGGAGCAAAACTGGCCAATAGATACCAAAAAAAAAAAAAAAAAAAAAGGCATTTTATACCTTTGTTTACCAATAATAATTACTGGAAATCCTGCCTTGTCTCATTCAAATTCTTACCATTAATGCTGCTGTACAGGGCCCTTACAGATTCCACACACAGTTATCTAGGTGAGAACACAGCTAATGAACTTCAATGTCAGCACCAATAAGTTAAGGGGGGGTATGGGGGGTGGTGGTGGTGGTGTTGTATTATGTCCTAAAAAAAAAAGAAGTGTTAATTTGGGGACAGCTATTCATGGCATACTTTATAGAGAACAGTTTTGTCAGCTACTTCATATTTGTATGCAACAGTAGTTGTACTCTTAAATCATCTGCAGTCTGGGCATGTCAATTAAACACTGAAAGTAAATCTCAAGCCCTATTCCTGACTATATCCCTATGAAAAAATAATACAATACTCCCAGTTCAGGAATCTAATTTGTTGGGTGGTTTGTTTTGGTGTTGAGTTGATGGTTTTTTTAAATAGCAAACCATATATTTGGGACAAGCTCTGCTTTTCAAAAGTATGCATCTTCATGTATGCACAGCGTTGAGAATTTATTGCAGCACTGGTTTCCTCTATATTGTGTGTAATGTCTGTTTTTACAACAGGTACTGAGTATTCAAGTAAACTTCCGTAACAGTTAATGACAGGGTTTTTTTAAAAGTGTGCAAAACTGCAAAACTCATTGTAATAGAATGTGTAAGGTCAAAGGGGCAGAACAGCTGACAGAGGTTTGATTGAATAAATGCATCATAAATCTTCAAAACAAACATTAACCTGGAGCATCTCCAATTGAAATTTCCTGTGCACCATTACAAAACATTTTTATATTAATGAGAAAGAAAAGCTTGCAAGGCAGCACATGAAGTATTCACAGCAGGAATATGATTGAAAAATAATATAAATGTACAATGTTGACTGATGTATGCACTAATAGCATCAGACTTTTAGCACTGGCCTTGATTACACAGGAGATGGAGCAGCCATTACAATCCATAAAAAAAACCAATTAATAAATCATTGTCAAATTTTGTAACAATTTGTTTCAAGCCCATATTTTAGTTGATAGCCTCCACATTTGTATGGTTAAGTCATTGTTGCTGTGTTTCCTTTCTGTGACCCCGTTAATTTTTCTCCCTTCATTTGCGGGTCTTTAGGATGTTGCAAAGGTTCATTCCTGTACCCCTATACAGAATCACTCCCTCTAGCTGCCTTTTCTAGCACCATTACACTTAGAAAAATAAAACGCACAAACAACAAGCAGTGACAGCGGCGACTCTTCAATTGTCCAGGATGAATTATGGTAGCATGCTAAAGAAAGATGCATGTAAATAGCCAGATATGGTACACGGGCCAAGCTCCAGCGGACTATATTCCTTTCTGAGCATTACTTTCCATCCCCCATCCAAAATACATACATTTGAATGCAATAAAACCTTCTAGAAACATTTCTTAGCCAACTGTAGACTTTTCTGTTGCCACACAAGTGCAAAAAAAGGGGCAGGATGTGAACCTGTATATTTTTGAAACTTCGTTTGGTGACAGAACACAAAAGGAAAAATTCCTACGTATACACATTAGGTCTGTCTCCACTTTTATAAAACTGGAATAAAATGGGAAAGTGCCATGTTTATAGTTCCTAATTGAAGTTTTAATGTCCTTTTGACACAAAAAGGTATATACATATAAGAGCTACGTAACCTTTTTTCCCCCCAACTGGACAAGTGTCAAACCCTGTAGATTTATAGGGCAAAACAAGATTGGTCAGGAAAGAATTGTTCCTATAATTGGTAATCTGACACTATGTCCTTTTGCCATTTAAAAAGGTCCTTTTTTCAGTTTATTCAAGTTTGTCACTCTTCGTGGTTGTTTTTTTTTGTGTTTTTTATCTCTGATAAAAAAAATATTCAGACTTTTGTAATCTGCGTATGCTGATCTTCATCAAAAGGTTCATTCTCTGGATCAGAGTCAGTGGTGTCAGAGTATCTATAATGATCAGGTTCATTGTCACTAACATCTGGTGTTACAGAAGTTGAACTGCTAGCCTCTGGATTTGATGGCTCTTCTACTGTTTTTGTGAAAAATAGCTTTACCTGGGAAAGAAAAGAACAACATTTAAAAAGGGAATCTGGACTTCAAACAAGCACAGGTAACAACGCAATTTTTAACAGTGTGGCTCCTCTCACTACACTGAATCACACACATGCTCCTCTCTCTGCTGTGGAAAGAAAGAATAAGCTCTTCTGAGGGTAGCCAGCCCCTTACACTATCACCATGACAAAATTAGGAACTAGCAAAGCAGCAGGTTTTTCAAGCCCAGCTGAAGGAGTTCTGCAGATCTGCACCAAACATAGGTACCCTTGAGTTAACAGCAGCAGAACATACCACTGCAGTGGTCCATGCCATACTGAGCTTTCTGACCACCCCCACCTTCTAGACCTCTGCAGTCACAGAGATTCCAGTAAGTGTGCACAGGAATGAACAAAACATTCTTTAACTGGTGACTTGTGTGTGCTTTAGAAGTCTGATCCAAGCAACATTCCAAAAAGCAACTATGACCATCACTGTCAAACAAGCACTGCTGAGTTCAAACTGGTATTTCATGAGCAAGTTAGAAAATGCTAAAATTCTTAAAAATGCCTTTTCAATTTTTAAAAACAGTGCTTGCAATGGCTCATATGCCTCAAAGCTCAACTCATACGTTAAGACATTCCCATGAAGCAAGCACCTCTGCAAATCAACTTGAGAATTACTGTGTAAAGCACAGAGCTGCAATGCTGCTGGTACAGGAAAGATACTACCTGGGTCTCCTACTACTAGTCTCAAATTGCTTGGATAAAAATCTGAAACAACTAGAAAACTTTACTTCCAGTCTCTCAATAATTCCTGACTTCCCAAAAAGCAGATAAAGTTAGAAGCTTTGCTAAGTGGTGGCCACACTAACATATGAATTCTTGCCAACATAAGGCAAGACAGACAGATAACATCATGCAGTGTTTCAGCTTTGTTTACACATATGATATACTGACCTTGAAGTTCGGAGAGAAATATCTGTTGGCTTTGTCTTTATTTGCTTTGTCTAGATCATTTTTTGTTAATGTAAGGATTAAATATTCCTTATCATTATCTGAGCGCTCCGTACTGAAAATACCATCAAGTTCCTGATCTGCAACTAGACTTCCATTTTCTACTTTGTCTGAATTTTCATCCAGTCCTATGAAGAATGTATTTACCCAAAAGTGAAACATTTTGTCCTGGGGGAGGAAGAAGACAAAGAACAAGCTTGCTTCAGTATACACTAATGGCACATTAATTAGACTAGCATCATCAACCGGTCAAAACCAAATCTGTAACATCAGACAAAACTTGTTCTGACAACAGTACATTGCTGGTTACATTGCATGCAAAGGCATTTTCAACGATTTCCCCAGACAGTACACAAAACTCTGCATTAATCAAACTCAACTTTAACCAATTAAGCCTTCAGAAGTCACTCCTTATAGAAAGGTCGTTTTAAAACAATCTATCATACCTATAAAAAACACAGATGACAAATTAAACAAATCTGTAATCATAAGGCATGAAGAGATTTTTTTGCTCATTCCTTGCCAAGCAGTAGCCAAACCCAAGAGACAACCTGTGCAAACCAGCTCAGGTGAGTAATATTTATCAATAGAGAATATCCTCTCCCATAACTTCCCATGTAACAAAGCACTTTTTCTTTTCATACAGAAATAGCTGTAATTAAGCAAAACCACCCTACAAATACAGGACTCCTATCATAGTGGGTTCATTACTGCTTTACAGAGATGGTTTCTACCAGTCATTTGTTTGCTGGCCAGTAGTAAGAGGAAGTCAGACTCAAAGTTCTTTGCTGTACTTCTACTCAACAGGAAATTTTAAATGGGAGTATGAGGCATTAGCAGTCTAAATATAGTCAACTTAAGCAGAACATTACAAATGATCATCCACAGCTGGAAAGGTACAAGTTACACTACCCATCGTAACACTGCAACAGGCATTCCTTTACAAGGAGGCAAAATACAAATATATCTGTGATTTTAAAGAGCCACTGGACTGATATTATCCACTATATTACATATTTATCATCATGACTAGCAGGTTTATTGTGTCTATCTCCAGATGTGCTACTGAACAAGCAGTTATATTTTACACTTGGCTAGACAATCTGAAGATAATATGCCCAGGAACTTTAAGATCTCAGCTAAACAGCTCCATAGGATGCACTGAATACTTTTAGGTCTCCATCACTTGGCATACTTCTGCAAGTCAAGATTTGAAGTTTCTAAGATCAACTACCATTAGCAGGTTGGTCCTGACTAGCACATTAATAAGCAATTCTCCATCTGAAGCTAGCTATGTTCACTTCCTCTTTACAAATTAACCTTTCTATTTTACTCCAATTTGATTTTTCAGACAGAAGATCCATAATGTAAATGGCCAGTCTTCCCACAATAGCTGTATTTCTGCATTTCTGTTAAAGCTGCAGGGGTGAGAAATCTAGCACATAACAGAATCCAACATTCCTTCATATTACCCTGGGCCAGAACACAAACTGACTCCAGAGCTACTTTACATATTTTGGTTTACCAGAGCTCTAATTCCAGTTTCTTGCCCCATCTTCCTAGCTCCTTACGTCTCCTGGCAAGCAAGGGAGGGAATCAGATGAGGAATGGAAGTGGTTCTAGTGTGTATCATATGAGCATGCCTCCCTACTGAAGGTAATTTGGCACCAGCAGAATATCACAATATTTTCCCCAGCCAATGAGAAGCGGACAGGGAAGACCTGGACTACTCCTTAACTTATATTCTTCTTCCTCACAAATTAATAAAACCATCTAAGTACACAAATACTGGGAACTCAGAAGGCCTGACAAAGCTTCTATCTGCCTTCTCTACCAAAGGTCAGCAGACCCATTTTCAGTATTTTAGGTAAAGCATACAAAACCACTTCCAGATTGTTGTGCATTTCTGTAAGCTCCTACAAGACCAACAGTCTGTAAGCAAGTGCAACAACAAAGACAAAAGTTAAATAATTCAGTCAGAAACACTTCTGATAGTTAAGAAGTTACCTGCTTCAACAAACACCTCTCCAGTACATTTGGGAATCGAGTTAATTTACCAAATTAACATGCTGTAATTACAGTTGTCTTGGGAGACTAACAGGTGTTTGCCACTGTCGCCAAGTGCCTACAAGCCATCACATCTATGAAGAAGCCTTTTTGGGCCCCATCCATGCAAGGAAGCAGTCAGTAGATTCTTGCCAGGCCCAAACTGCTTGTACACTTAGCAACCTCGTTTTCACTAGCAGTTCCTCAGAAACAGTCTTAAGAGAGCCCACCCCAGGATCTGGAAATAGAGGATGAACATCCAGGGCAAGAGAGTGTTTTCTTCTGTAATGCTCTAATGAGTCATCAGCCAGCCTGTGGATATCTCATGAAGAATATGGCACCAGGAAAAATACCCCACAAAAACGTCTTCAAGCTAACCTGGTCCAGATTCATCCTATGTCCAGATGATGAGTCCCTCAAAAAATATGTAGCCCTCCAAGGAGATGAGACGAATACTCCTGCTCAAACCAAAAGACCAGTTCAAATCAAAACAGAAACAACTAACGGCATCAGTTTCCTTGCTACAGAATGGGAGGGATTTGGAGTCCAGGTGCCATCTACAATAAACAGCAGGAAAACGCAAGTGTGATATGATGCTTCCAGCACCCAACAGCTCCATAAGCAGGTGGATGTATCACCACAGTTGAAAAGGCATCATCCTTCCAGTGAGGCTTTAGAGAAGAAAGTGCATTTCCATATTAAGACCACAGTTAAGGGAGATTCCACCTCTTTGTAACTGGGGTGATGGTACTACTATGATTGATCCTTCTTAAGGACAATGCAAAAGCAGCAGTGCCCTTTAGTGCTGGTTCTTAGTGCTCCCCTGACACCTCCAGTGAGGTCAGCAGAGGAGAGGACAAAGCTGATGAACATGCTGCAGCAGAGGGATGAAAAATGGCTTATACCAATAGTGCTGCAGCAGCTTCAGAGGATAGCAGTGCCAAAGCAAACAAGGCCACTGCATGTAAACCACTGCCAGCAGAAGCAGAAGGCATGGTCTTGTCATGCCTCACCTTAAACTTTACCAGGAGGAACAGAACCAGGAAGGAGTTTCTTGGCACTTAAGGGCCTGCCTGAAGAAACAACTGCAGGGACTCTGCTTTCCTGACAAATTCCGAAGAAGACAAGACAGAAGACTTCTCACTAGACATCTTTTAATTTATTTTCCTTGGGATAAATTTGCAGAGGTCTTCAGGGACTCAAACTAAACAATACAACTTGGCTGAGCTGGTCATTTATCCTTTTATCTCCCTCCAGCTCTTCAAAGCATCAAGTTATTTTTCTTCCTTTCCCACTACATTCACCTAATTAGTTTAATAAATTAAATTCATGGGTACCGGAACATGGCATGGCCACTCAAGCTGAGGGAAGACTTTATGAAATTAGCTCTTAAGAATAACTGTCACTGCTTTCACTGAAAAACAAACCTCAAAGTGAGGTTTCATCCACCTTAAGCTGAAGCGTCAGGGTGCAAAGTACCTCATGGGAGACAACACTGATGTAATAAGGGCCAAAGGAATTTTAAAGATCAAGGCTCAAACTGAATTTTGGACTTTATACAGCAGATCAGAATACCAGACAAAGTGCTCACAAGGAACACAATTTAACGAACAGGCTTCTGAAAATGACTATTAGCTAGAAGCTTTTTTTGAATGTGTTTTGCTTCAATTCCAGTTACATCACAGGCATCTGCCTTAAAGAAAAAACTGAACAAAACAAAAAAAACTAAGATGCAGATGTTCTTCTTCCCATAACCAGATCTGTACCATAAAATCCACAGTGCAGTATCAGACATTTGAGACAAGCTGATTTAATCACAGTAGTTTGATATACAGTAGTTATGCCTACCCTGTGCAGTTTTTCAGCTCAGACTGACAGAAAAATGTACCTCAATCTAGACCCAATACCTGCCTCTAAGTGCAGACTGAGATCCAAATCCAAGATCATTTAAACTATCAGCTTGAAGTTCCCATAACCTCCTGAGAGTTTAATTTTGCCGACAGATCTACAGGCACTTATAATTACTTCGAAGTGATTGCTAAGGGTTTTGGAGGTATTGTCCAGCTCCATGTTGGCCTCACAACCCTCCTGTAGTCACAGCTGATGGAACTTCTTGTACCATTTTCAGATTAACAGTTAAAGTCTTCTGACATTTTCAGAGTTCATTTGTCAGTGTTCGCTAAATAACAATCACCCAAAGTCCTCTTGAACTGCATAGCAGACCTTCTCATCTATACAGACCCAAGAAATAAAATTGCATGCCCAACAGCTCAATGTGGTCAGCCCTGCCTATGTTAGTCTGGATACAGTGACTCTTACAAAACAAAAACAAGCAAACAAAAAAAAAACCCAAAAAACCAAACCCACACCAACATTTCCCTCTCATCTATACTGGGAGGACTCCTGAAAAAGGTCTCCTTCATGCCCAGGCTCTGCAGGCAGGAAGATTACAAGATCTTCTGTATTCTTTTTAAACAAAGTCTCATTGAACCAAGTGATATAAGGGTATCTGTAAGATTATCATACCAACTTCAACAACTAGAAGAAAAAGGTTTCACACAGCTACACTGAAACAAACCTAGAGAGAACACAGCAGTAGTCTGAGATGGAAGAATAGCAAAGCTACAAGTCAGAGAAATGAAAAAACATGGTCAACCTCCTGCAAATTACTAACTTCTATCCATCAGAAATTCACACATAATATATGTACTCAAGCCTTAAGCCATTTTGCTCTCATATGAGCATGCATTTTGCTCTTGAAAGGAAACTGAAGAAAGGTCCAAGGTAAACTAAGCAACTTTATTAGACAAGATCAAAAGTTGTGGACTTACTAAGTGATGCCAGGTGGCACAAATTATGGAAGAGCTGAACCAGGGTAATATTTTCAAGGCAGTCACCCTGTTACCAACATTAGCTCATCAGCACCAATAACCCTTTGGCTGAGGCCAGCTCTTGCTAGCCACTGAATTTACTTAACTTAAATTTTGCCATTAAAAACCCAGGACACTTCACTGCTTTAAATTTCACATTGACACTTAACATTAGGTGCTTAAAGTCACTTGGTCATTCAAGTTGGGTTTGTTTCATGCACAATAATTCTCAATAAGCAGCTCAAATCTGACGAAGACTCTTCACACTAGAGAGCTCTGCTGGTAACACTACTGTTCTTCAGAAGATTAGAAATCTGAAAGCTAGTAAAGGTAAGCAAACCTGGAGCACTTCAGCTGAGATCACTAGTATCAAACACCAAACCAGATCCAGCAAGAGGACACAGAAGTTTCCTTTATCCCCAGATAGGAGACACTGCCATTCTCCAGCCTGAATGGCCCAGAATGGATTGAGAATTACACTTTTAATTAAATGTTATTAGGGTTATCGCCAGATTTCTCATGGAAAGTTAAATGTGATGCCTTTAAGTGCATGCAAGAAAACTTGTTTGGCAGCTACCTATAAACCTGCTAACAGAAAACCTTGACAGAACAAGAATTTGTGATGGGTAACAGACCTGTAACTCCAGCTTTCATAAACGTGTGAATCAATCAGAATCTCTGAAAGGTAAGATCCCGTTACTCCTAATTATGCTGCTTCTTATTAATTAGGTGATAAGTGCGTAGAGCTGACCTGCTCCAAAGTCAGACAAGCCTCAACAGTGGAAGGCCCTTTCTTTTGTGCTTTTGAGTAAAAACTGTGTAGTCAGCTTATCTAATAAAGGAACAGGCACAGATGTGAGACACTTGTAAAGAGAAATGTGTTCCAACTCTGGGCCAAGATAGGTTTTCTGCCACAAGTATCTGCCTTTGCCCTATTCCTGTCTCAGTCACTTAACAAGTTGTCAAAGGGACCACGGGGAAGAATCTCTAGTGCCAAAGCACACATCAGAGAGAGTATTTCACTAGTTCTCAACATGAAGACCTCAGCAGTGGCTTCATAAAATAGACTAATGTGCTTACATCCGAGAAGATCCACTGACCTCATCCCAGATGCCCTCTCAACTTGTGTTTGCATTTACATCAGTGCAAACAGAGGTGGCCTTACCAGAACTGTGTGACACCATATACCTACTTTCTTTTGGCCTCCACTCTTACACAAGGTTAATGGCAATTGACACTAGATTCAACAGATCTTTGAGGCATATTATGAAGGTGGTTCCTTTACAAACTACTTCTGCCTGGTGAAAGGACAGTTTCTATCTCTCAGAAAAGCTTGCACAGGTAGAAAGAACTTTCACCATCTCAGCATTTCTTAGCCCTACCAGTCCAAAAAACACTAAGAGGACCACCTCTGCACTATCTGCAATTCACAGAACCTGAATAGTTAGGGTACTTAGAAAGAGTAGACCAAAAACACACACACAAAAAAAAAAATCAACTATTCAAACTACAAAGAGATTCTTCAGAAATGAAACCACAGCTGATACGACACTCTGAAAGTACATCATAGTGGAACACTTCCTGTGTTTCTGCAGGCAATTTTACATACTCTTGAAGTCTGCATTTATACTACAGAAATTGTATGTGGTAACATGAAGCTCTAGTTTCTGCTGGCACTGGATCTCAGTTCTCTATAAGGGTAAAACAAACACAGAATTCCACTCCTGGTGCTACAGGGCCAAGATCCAGCATCTGAGCTGTGCACTGGTATTTTGGGGCTTACTTGGGGAAGGGCAGTGCAGCACAATGCTTCCTGTGAAGTCCATTTGCAATCCGTTACTGAAGATGGTAAAAGACTCAACACATTCACAGTTAAGATAGGACAGACTCGATAAAACTGGACACTGTTAGATGTTTGGGTTCCATTTCCTCTCCTGCCTGCATCCCTTTATGTCTTATCTCGGTATTCATTTTGAAGTACTTATAGGGTGCTCATTTTAAACTCTGTTCTTAAAACTGGCTTCTGTGCATTGCAGTTCTATATGTCAATAATTTTCAGGTTGACTTAAAAGAATTTTGACTTTCATAACACTTTGTTTTACAGTTATCTGTTGCATATTGCTGCACTGACCAACTAAAGCGTCTGGTTAAACATGCAGAATAAAATATCCCCATTAAAAAACTGTTTAAAAACTTTTGCACACATCAGCATGCAAATAGAACACAACTTTCCCAGCTAGTGAAATTATACCATTAAACTAGTTAACAACACCTTCCAAATGAACAAGCCCACAAAGTGTATGTGTAGTTATACATACATCTAGTAGGTACAACCTATGTGCAGAGTTATAAGAGACTTCTCATCACTTATGTGTCGTCCAATCCACTCTATTTTCTTATTTTTATGCTTTGCCTATACACAAGATTCACTCAATGAATACTCTTTAAGTTTTATAACATCAACTAAATAGTGAACAACTATTCATAAAAAAAAAAAGTAGTAAATACAAAGGCAGTCTTTAATCAATGTGGTCTCATCCACACCTTTCACTTTGGTAGATGCAAACTAGCCCCACAAGCATCAGAATTAATGAAACCCTGGGATGAAGCATTCATCTTTAAGAACTTGCTGACTCTGGTGTCAAAGTAAGTTCTAGAAATTCTTTTTCCACAATTAAGACATTGGTAAAATTCTCAGCTCTGAGTAAATTCTCTAAAAGCCTAATGTCAAGACATTGCAGCTGGGAATTGAAAAAATGGCTGGATAGATTGCAGAGATACTTCTACATAGCGTGGTGGAACTCTACCTCGGAAATTCAACCAAATTTGTCACCTGGGTAGAAACCAGCCAGCAGCACACAGACAGGATCTTCTGTGCCTGCTCAATCCTTAGGAAAATTTAGTCAAGAAAACAGCTGGAATTAACTTGCTCAGTATGCAAGTCTATTTTTAGAATGAGAATGTTTCTTCTTCAATTAGATTACTCACTACAACCCAAATGACTGGAATACATATCCATTATAATTTTTATCCAACCTTTGTACTTAATATCAGAAATTCTCAAAATATCCAGCTTTGATTTTGTAGCAGATTCTCTCCTTGGGAAAACTAGACATCAAAGAATAATACTGTGATTACACATCACTGAAGAATAACCAACATCCCAACCCTGCATCAGGACTGGCTCAAAAACATTTTCTGGAAAGGAAGGAAAACCAACCTTTTTCAACATCTTGTTCTGTTTGTGGAAAAATTCCACTTTGATGTCACCGCATACCGGCAAAGGTTGAGGGAATTCAAAGTACATAAACTTGTCCTCGCGTCTTGAGGGTCCTGAAGGGGAGGTGAATATCTTTACCTTTAGCTGGTACACCACAAACTGAGGATCTGCATGGCAAAATAAGAGTGTCACTTTATCAGAAACACCTTGAAGTGTCAAAAAGCACAATATTAGTATCATAATCACAATCATGAGCTACATTATTCTGAAAGTTCAATAAACATCTATTAAGACTTAAGCATGGCAGGGCATCAAACTTCGCTAGATGTTACTGGAAACTACCTAGCAGATTTCTGTCCTTAGCAGCAATACTCTCAGGCATCCACAGGGTTCCTAGAAAGTTGCTCTTTCTTTTCAGTATAAGGAATGACTAAATGAAGTGACAACTTCTTTTTACTTGCATATTGCTCTCATCTCTATTATGTGAATGTAATTGAGGAGTTTTATTCTCTCTTGCCTCTTCAAATTGCAGAGTGGGCAGTCATGTAAACACAAACTCATTTCTCTCACACAAACCAAACATGTTATACAAACAAGAACAAGGACAAAAAATTTAACATTAGTACACAAACCAACCAGCACCTACAGGCTATACAGGCACGGACCATAAGTCTGTCCTCTAAATCACCATCAAGAGTGCTACCCAGGGCATAACTTTCCAAATTAAATCTGTAGGGGTAACAGCTGAAATTATGAAGGTTTTTTTGGTGCAACCTGGGCAGATTTCCTTGGGAACAGCCAGACACTAGCACAAAATCCAGAAATATTAAATGAAAAATTCAGAGAAATCTTTCTGCCTTTGCTCCCAACTTCTCTGTTAGTATCAGATGCAGACTGCTCTAGACAATACAAACTGAACCATATCCCAATATAGAGTGTAGCCACCCTGAACCTCCCCCACTGCAGAACTGCAGAAGTCCCTACCAAGCATACCCACACTATCTTGCTAAGCAGCCTAACTATAAAACTGCTACTTATCTCCCTCAAATCCTCAGAGCTGCAAAACCCTGTCATCCCTTTGTTTCGCAGGAAAGGCACAACTCTGCTTGGTCAGTGACTTTAAAAAGAAGGAAGATAACAAGGAAGTCAGATTTAAAGTTATCATGGGTTGGTAAACCATGCAGCAGATAACAGCACTAAAGAAATAACACAGACCATTGGTTTCATTCTGAAAAACCACTGAACTCCACAGAAATGTAGAATACTGCAGCACACAAGATGCACAAGTTGGCAGTTTATCTTCTCAGGTGCTCAGCAAACTTTTTGTTTATCCCAACACTGTACTGTGAAAACAGCATGCTAAAAGCCTGGTACAGACAAACAAGTTAATGCTCATGTGAGCAATTCATACTTGTAGCCTGATTTTGCAAGTACAGCAGTTTATTCAAAGCATTAAATAAGTGGTAATTTTAGAAATCTGTAACCCCCACACCTCTACCCTCTAGGAAGAGGTTTTCTGGCAGAGGCTCCTCCCTTCCTCCTCCTCCTGTAAATACGGCTAGCCTGACAAGTTGCTTGATTTCTTCTTGTGTGTTACATGTTCAGGCACTGTCTTACAATATTAATAGTGCAATTTTAATGAAAGCCACAGGAGGCACTGGAATTAATTACACATTGCAGTAATCCCCATAGCAAAACCATTAGAAAGACTTTTTCCACTAACAAAAAATGAACACGCAACACGAGGCAGTTACTTTCCTGTAATACAGCCCGCAGGACAGATGTGAAGTTGGGTTTTGTACTTCAGAGTTTCAAAGTATCTGCTGTTCCTTACTAACACGCTTATGTATCAGCAAACCACATTAATCCTTTACAGGTGTATTAATACTTTATAAGCCTCCATCTAAAGAAAAGTTTATTCCAGAGCTAATTAGATACTTATCCTGTTAAACTGATTTTTTTTCTAAACATCATGGGAAGAATGACATTGCTACATTTGAAACAAACGCACCACTAAGTAAAAGATTTTCAGCAATATATGTTCCCTGTATAACTTGCTATATTAGAAAAAAATACATGCTTTCTATAAAAAATATGGAGCTAATCTAAATATATATATGGCACTTATCTTCAAACTGTTGAATATTTCTCAATTTAAAACCATAGTCTAAAAACCATCTGAGTCCATCACAGACCTCAACCTACTACACTCGAGAGGATGCTAGCAGATAGACCACACTAACCCAGCAGATTTTGTAACCTGAAGTTAACTAAGCATCATCTTCTCCATCAAGACGTGCAGCTCTTCATGTCATGTAACAGAATGGTAACTGTCACATACTAAAACCAAGTTCAAAGGCCAATGTGTTTTCCTTACAAGAGCTAATGGAGGTTAATGGAATGCGGGGTACTTACTGCAAGTTCCGCTGCTGAACATGGGAATTGTTTCAAACATCATCTTGTGAAACAGCAGTGCCACTGGTCTGTAATCCAGGTGATTCTTTAACAGGTAGCTATAGTAGTACACGTAGCGTCTCTGACTGGGAATTGTCACTCCCTAAACCAAGGGAAAACAAAAGTAAAAAACCATCAAGACCGTTTATTAGCATCACTAATGGAGCTCCTGCTAAAGCACTGGAATGTACCATCATGATTTATGCTGAGTATACCTCTGCAGCAGATACACTGGACACTGGCACACAGAGTATGCCTAGATATTGTACCTAAGTATCTAGGTGCAGCATCTGGCTGTACCTAGAAAGTAGAGGGATGCTGCACTGCTTTCGGCGCTGCACAGAAACCCAGTCATGTGGGTTTTTAGTACAGTAACACATGATTACTCTCAGCCATTTCTTCACTGTGGACATCCTGGGCAACTTAGGGACTAGCAAAGACATAATCCACCTTCAAACTATTCCCCAAAACAGCCTCTCTACACATTTCCCTTTTCCCTAGACACGTGTCCACATCTTTTGTGCTTGTCCTACAGAGACTTCAAGAGGAAGCTGTTTGCACACATTATCTGACACCAGGCAATTAATTACCAATCAGCACCCAACACCAAAACAAGCAGGATACTGCTTTTCCCGTTACTTTAGTGCAAATCTCCAAATATCCATCATCTCAAGCAATGAGACAAAAAAATGCAGATTTCTTCCTGTATCTTAAACACCAAATACCTCAGGCACCCTGAGGGTCATACAGAAGATGGCTTCATGCAGGTGCTCTTTTATGGGGGTGCGGGGGGGCGAGTGTCATACATTAAGAAGGAGGTGCCTTAAACATACTCTTATTTTTAAGCACCAATACAAGAATTACATTTCCATAGCAGTTTAAGTCAAAAGATTCTAATTTTATTTGCTAATATCACTGTACCCAAGACTGATGCTACCCTCTATTACAAAATACCCTTCTGTATTTTTATTATGATTATACAAAAGCCAGAAGTGGAAAGTTTCATTAATAAAGGCCCAATTGCCCAAACTGTTAAATGAAGGACTTTTCAGTTGAATCACAATTCTGAAGTAAACACTCTGAGAACATACAACCAAAGATGGCTTTTATTACTGATTTTAAACCAATTTAAATTTCAAGGGAATAGTTTTAAAGCTCTTACAGCTAATATCTTCAAGCAAAAAGTGATAAAGATGAAAAATAATTTCCTAGAAAATGCATTATATAGTTTTTAACAACCCATACTATATACTTGCAACAGCATTAGTAAGTAACTTTCGTATTAAAGCTAAATGTGAAATTGCAATAAAACTGAGATTAAAAAAAATGTTTTCATGTACACGTCTATGAGCATTTTGGCCACAAAACCCAGAACACAGTATTTCTATAAAACATTATTCCTAATACCTGCTTCACCTTACAACAGCCATAAGCTAGGAGTGACTAGAGTACTTCCAATTTAGTAAGCACCTATTCTGCAAACATGAAAATACTGACTTCCTCCCTTTATTAAAAAAGTTGATAATTATGTCTCCTCCCCACTTCAGTTATTACACAAAAGACTTTTCCCTGCAGTACTTGTACAATGATGACCTTCTTAAGTACCTTCTACATAGACCATGTTTTTAGTTCAGGTGTCATCTCAGAAGCTGCCTTCTTAAGGGAGCTTTAGAGATTGCTTTACTGGGATTTCAGCTTCAAGACTCAAAAATCCATCCTCAGAGCAAGCCATCAGTAATTTGCTAATGCTGCCAATCAGAAGAAAACCATGCAGACAAGGAAAATGCATCCTTCCCTGCTTATAGCTTCTTCATGCCATAAAGGATGTACCCCACAGAGAAACCCCAGCACAACTAGGGCTGGGATCACAGAATGAAGAAAATACATTCACTTTTACAGCTTATAAAGTGATAGTCAATCTCAAAGCAAAACCAGTTCTCAGCCAAGACAGCAGTTTTATCTCTCCACCCAGAGATTTTTGCTCCCTGGAGACATAGCCTTTACCCTGAGATCCTAAGAACCAGCCACACTGACGCAGAACAAAAAGTTACCCATTTTCTGAAGTTCTGATTTCACAGCAGAATACTTCCATAACAAGCTAATAATCCATGAGGTGAAATCAACCTCTGCTTACTTTTACTCAAGAAGAACAAAAGAATAGGGAAGCAGTTTTGAGTATTTTACTTCATCCTTGAGAAGCTTGTATTTCCCATCTATCACTATTTTAATTTTTTAAATGGACATTAGAAAAGCTTCTCTATCCCTATGCCAGTTTTTCACAGGGCACTGCCAACCTGTGTAGACTTCACAAAAACTGTGAGGTGCAGCTCAAACACTTGAATGTGTGTTCCCACCTGACACCTATCCACTGAGCAGCCTACACGTCCTTCCAAGTCTAACCCTCACCATAAAAACCTTCAAAGCAGAAGCAGGAATAAAAGACCTTCTCCAGCTGTAGGAAGGTAAGCTGTCTGTCATCACAGCAGTATTTCAGTACCCGTCTTAAGGAAAAAACAGGTGATAAGCTGACCATTTCAAACAGTGGAAGCAGCAGCTTCCCATGGGAGACTTCTTTGAGAGGTTTACTTCTCCCCCAGCTCTGAAAACAGGCTGGACAATTACAGTTCTTTATCCAATTTCAGAAATATTTGTCTCCCTTGGTTCAAAGGCAAAACAAATCAGTCCTGTTCAGCCACGACCACCGTGACAAATATTTAGCAAACGCTTTCTCAACTTCATCATTTGCTGCTTCTGAAGAACTCCCCACTATGGTGAGTTATGTAAGTCAGAAGAGGCAACTTACAGAGAAAAACAAAACCAAGCCTCCAACAGTTTTTGGTCAGATATATTTTAGGCTCAGTTCTGCAATGTCTTACTCCCCACTGCCTTTTCCAGGACAACAGCACATCAGACTATACTGCAATGATCAGTCTCATCTACAACAACTCTCATTTAATGTTGCAAAGGCCTCCATGAAGTTTCTACCTCCAGTAGACACTTGGGAAAAGCAGTTTGCTACAGAAGTACTCAAGGTTGTTCTCTTGACCAATTAGTCATACTTCCTCTTGAAATCAGACTCACAAGTCCTGACAGCATGGAATAAACCTTCTCAAAAATCACTTTGCCAAGCACATTAATGGCAACAGTGATTTTAGCTGTATTACTCTGAGCAGCTATATACAAAGTGTATACCTTGTGCTTGCCTGAAAGAAAATTTGGTATCTAATTAAAGCCAATTTTCCTTCATTATACGTGTATTTATTCTGGTCCAACAATGACAACAGCAAAAAAGGCAATTTCTTGTCCTTAGGTGCAAGCAGTCCTTTTGATGCTTCATTTACTTTGAAATCAGGAAGTCAGTTATATACAAGTGTGGTAAAGTATCAAATCAGAGAGCAGCACTTGACATACAACACTGAAATATGGGCCATAAGGGAAGACAAAGCTTCCAAAACCTGCACTGGAATACCTGTATATAAAACACTGTAAGGATTACATGAATCATGTGCTGCCCAGTGTCCACATAAAGATAACCATGCTCAGTTGGAGTTGAAGCAAACAAAAAAAACCAAAACAAACAAACCCCAAACCAACCAACCAACTAAACAACAACAAAAAAAAAACCCCAAAACAAACAAAAAAATCCCCAAAAACCAAATCACCAAAAAACATCTTCCAGTAGAGACATCGAAACCAAAACAAAGTTGCTGGCTAAAGACAATATTTACAGTGAAGCTAAACAAGGCTCTCACTATTCCTGTTTACTAAGTTCTCTGTTACCTCAAACATGCCAGGGTACTGATGAACACCTAACTGACCTTACACTCAATACACTGACATGCAAAAATACAGAAAAGAAACTGAGGTACAGCAACTTCACTATGTATTTATTATGTAGATTTTATGGTATTTTATCCAGCTCTTTAGATAATCTTTATCAGCAGGAGTAACCTAATCTGTTTATTCATCACACAGCTCATTCCTATTTACTACCATGCACTCTCACCAAAAGCCACGAAGTTTTAATGGGAAACCTTGACAGTGTCTTTGCTCTAGTATTACACTACAACTATCTTCCTAGCCATACATGGAACAGCCCCATCTTGTAAAGAGAGCAAACTAAGAAGTTATTTGCTCCTTCCAACAAATTAACATTAAGTTCTAGAATTCCTTATGTGACACTTCTGCTCTCAAGAGCCTTCAAACATGAAGCTCTGCTTATTAGAAGTCTACACACTGTGAAATTAGTATTTCACACAAATATTACAGGAACACAGAGAGCTCTATACTTCAGTAGGCTGGAACTGGTCTGCTGAGATCATCCCCCGGGGCTGCTCCACCAACATACACAAAGGAAACTAGGGAAGATGAGCAGGCAAGCTTGCTGAAGTGACCTTCCAAGTTACACCTTATTATATTTGGATAAGATTTCAAATAAGAAGGATAAACTCCTATTAATGAGGCATAACCATGACAGAAAGTTCTAACACAAACCTACTGCTAAAGATCTTAACAGAAATCCCTTGCAGCCATGAACATCATTTCTTCAAAATGAGATCCTGCCATTTCTCCATGGGGGAAGTAGAAGAAACGAAACTAACTATAGCACCTCATGAAGCAGCTCTGAGGCAGCAAATGTCAGGGCTTAACTACCCTTTTATTGAAAAGGGTCATCTAACGACAGACTCTTCCAGAACAAATAGTCAACTGTAACATTCACTGTAATGACCACTCATCTCCAAATATCACCACAGAAGCTAAGAGAACCTGAGGAGATGAGCAACTCATCAATTCAGTCAAAACAAGCTAGAGTAATCCTCTTACTTGGGCTGAAAATGCTCAACAAGACAGTACACTCATCAACCACCCATTTGATGCAATAGCAGAATGCTATTTTAAAAGCTATTTAAAATAAACTGTCTAAATCTTCTTGAACAGGAGACAGAAAAAATAGACAGGTTTAGTGTGATCAATTCCTACTGCTGCTTAGAAGTTATCTCATTTAGAAGAGCTGCACTGATTAAATAATATTAAAACTGAATCAAACAAGGTATCACAACTGAAAGAAAGTATTTCTTAAATAGCCCTTTCAGACTTTTCAAATTGACCTCAAGAAAGAAAAGCAATTAAGATACAAGTAGAGCAGAAAAACAGAAAATAGCTCACCTTCTTGTCTCTGGTCCTTACTTCCCCATAGAAATCTAGGGCTTCTTGAGCCTTTAAAAACTTGCCTCGATGCAACAAATATGCACATATCATTACACCAGTTCGTCCCTTTCCAGCTTTACAGTGGATTGCTGCAACATGATTGTCATCTTCACTTAGCCACTGGTCGAGATCTTCACAAAAAGGTTTGATAAGCTCTAGCTGTGGTGGGTTATGGTCTTCAAAAGGGTACTGTGCAACTGCAACAAGAAGAAGTAATTCATCAAAATCTCAAAAGGAAATTAACAGCAAGCTCAGGTCAACTTTGTGGCAAGCAAAATAACATTAAATAAGCCCTCATCCTACATACAAATATGTATATTTTTGTTATTCCAACATAATTCAGCAATGTACTGCATATTACAAACACTGCAGACATTTCCCTAGTAATACATAAGCATCCTGCTACATGAAGAGACTTCCACACCGCTACTGAAATGACTGTGACTACGGCACAGACAGTACCTTACAACACAAATTTTCTACAACTTATGAGTGCATTGGCACAAAGAACAACCCTCTGAAACCCCATTACTCTAGTGATAATTAGACTGACTGCTGAGAGAAAACAGGGCCAGACCTCAGTCATTGATCAGACAATAGGAATTTTGGTGAAAAAATTCTGAGCATTTGGGTCTACATTGGGAACAAACTGTCAGAACTGCTCAAAGCGTTTTTGAAACAAAAACCTGCAGTTTCCATATTAAAAAAAAAAAAGATAATAAACCCTCATATAAGGCACTTGCAATACATGAGTTTTAAAGTCAAGCCACTGAATGAAGTTGTCCTTTTTCTCATACAAATACATAGATGCATACAAACACTTTTTCCATCTAGACATGGAAAGAATCTCAAATGAGCATGCAGGAAATGAAAGAAAACCCAAGAAGGCAAAATTAAGCAATAAGCAGAAACAAGCACCCAAACCTCTAACACCTTAGGTATGACGACAGGCAAAATACTCTGTTGACTAGCAGAATTACACAGGGCTGTGCTATTTTGTCAGAACAGCAGCACTTTATAAAGTGCACCCCAATTCTTGTTTGGCAGACTTGGGATCTTATAAATACAACTCTGGTTCACTTAAAAATTCTCAGCTAGAAACACTATTTCCTTTTCTGGTCTAAAAATGAATGCATTTCATTTTTGGCAAGTGTTTGTATTCATTTCGTAAGTACTACTCTCGTCACACATGCAAGGCTCCTTTTGATGAATCCCCAAGGATTTAAAGAGAAGTGAGGGATGAAGTTATGGAACTGCCAAATTACCGCAGCACAAGTCTGGAGCCTTTTGGAGGGATCTGCAAAGACGGTTTATTCACTTGCAGTACAGGTCGCCCACTTACTCACCCAGAAAACCAAGTAAGGAAGCCTGATAAAATGAACAATCTTTGCCAAAGAACAGCAAAGGTGTTCTATTCTATGACTCTATGAAGATCCAAAGATTCCCCAAAAGATCATTTTATGTGAACTTACAGAGATGTCACTTTCTGCAGCAGATACAGAGAAAAGGAGAAATTTATTTAAAAAACCCTAAGAAAAAAAGCTATTAGGAGATGCTGTCAATTTGTCCATACAACTTTGAGTCTATCCTAACTACATTCAGTCAGGGTCCAGTGAAAAGGAAAGACAAAGTAGCCCTGAAAGAACAGCCTGAAAAATCTGAAGTAGCAGCAGTGTGCTGAAAGTGCTCTCCAAGACTTGAGATGAAAGGCAAACCTTGTGGTATTTACTGCAAGATGGAATGAGGAACAGATGAGATGGGTATGGGAGACCCGTGACGGTGCAGAGGGAGTGGGAATCAGAAAGCAACCTTAGGAAACATAAAACTATGATCTGGAGCAGGTCCTCCATAGATTTTCGGTCCTAAACTCTGGAGCACAGAGCATGGAGTTACTCCACGATTACTCTCTCCAAGCTCCTAGAAGTTGCAAGAAAAATCCCATAGCACAAAAGGGAGCAACAAAACAAACCAACCAACCAACAAAAAAAAAAAAAAAAAAGAAAAAAGAGCCTTTGGCAAAGCAGAAGGTAATTTCCAGCATGGAAGTACTTCAGAAACTGCAAAAATCCTAGACAAAAAGCTTGCGTCCAATGAAGATGAAGAGCTTTCAATGTCTGGTTTTGAATTTAATGCAAGAGCATCCAAGCTGAATAATGAAATACTACAGTGTTTCATGCTAAGTGTACAAAATAAGAAGTTCCCTCTGAAATTAATTCACTTGAGAAAATTTTTAGAGTAGAACTGTTACTCTTCTGCTCCCTTAACAGTCCTGAGTCACCAATTTTGTTATCTAAGGCAACTAATTTGGGGATGAAAAGAAAAACTGCAGCATGTAGCTCACTACAACAGCACTGTCTTAGCAGAGGAGCTGTGAAAGGCACCGTCAACAAACAACATTTTGGGCTGAGAATGACAGTGACAAGATATAGCATCCCCATTAAAACAAACAAATAAACAAACAAACAAAAAAACCCACCAGAACCCCCTAAAAACCAAACAACCAAAAACCCACAAAATTCAAAGCAAGCATATGTTCTGGACATATCAGAAGACCACCTTTTCATTTATGTCTTCTCTCCTGTTACCCAAGGTATTGCTCAAGCAGATCTTTAAATACTTTTTTTTCTGGCTTGTATGTATTCAGTGAGGTTTCAGGACACTGTCATTCAATATTTTAAGAGCAAACCAGCAGCGAAGATGACTTCAAGATGACAGTTTTAGTCCTTCTATATTCAGACATTAAAGCAGCCAATTACATTTTGGCCATGCTCTAAACACCCTCTTTACAACTAGAAGAATGGCCTATAACAAATAAAGGATAATAATAAAAAAGAAATTGAGCCTTTGCTAGGATATAGTATTAGCCCGTTACAAAACTGGCTAATAGTAGCTAAAATTTATTCATCTCCTACAATTCACCCTCTTGGGTGAACTAGCTACACAGGATTTGGAGAAGGCTGAGGTTCTGAATGACTTCTTTGCCTCCGTCTTCTCTAGCAAAGGCTCTGACCGCACCACCCAAGTCTTGGAAGGCAGACACAGGGACTATGACAATGAAGACCTTGGGCCCACTGTAGGAGAGGATCTGGTTCGAGACCATCTTAAAAATCTGAACGTGCACAAGTCCATGGGTCCTGATGAAATCCATCCACGGGTCCTGAAGGAGCTGGCGAATGAAGTTGCTAAGCTGCTGGCCATCATATTTGAAAAATCATGGCAGTCAGGTGAAGTTCCCGATGACTGGAAAAAGGGAAATATAACCCCCATTTTCAAGAAGGGGAAAATGGATGACCCAGGGAATTACAGACCAGTCAGTCTCACCTCTGTGCCTGGCAAAATCTTGGAGCAGATTCTCCTGGAAGGCATGCTAAGGCACATGAAAATCAACAAGGTGCTTGGTGACAGCCAGCATGGCTTCACTAAGGGGAAACCCTGCGTGACCAATCTGGTGGCCTTCTATGATGGGGCTACAGAACTGATGGACAGTGGTAGAGCAGTTGATGTCATCTACCTGGATTTGTATAAAGCATTCAACACTGTCCCACACGACATCCTTGTCTCTAAACTGGAGAGACACCAATTTGATGAATGGACCACTCGGTGGATAAAGAGCTGGCTGGATGGCCACACGCAAAGAGTTGTGGTCAATGGCTCAATGTCCAGCTGGAGACCTGTAACGAGTGGTGTCCCTCAGAGATGTGTGTTGGGACCGGTCTTGTTTAACATCTTCGTCGCTGAGATGGACAGTGGGATTGAGTGCGCCCTCAGCAAGTTTGCTGATGACACCAAGCTGTGTGGTTCAGTTGATACACTGGAGGGAAGGAATGCCATCCAGAGGGACCTTGACACACTTGTGAGGTGGGCTGATGCCAACCTCATGAAGTTTAACCATGCCAAGTGCAAGGTCCTACACCTGGGTCGGAGCAATCCCAGACACAGCTACAGGTTGGGCAGAGAAGAGATTCAGAGCAGCCCTGTGGAGAAGGACTTGGGGGTGCTGGTCGATGAGAAAATGAACATGAGCTGGCTTCAGTGTGTGCTTGCAGCTCAGAAAGCCAACCGTACCCTGGGCTGCATCAAAAGCAGTGTGACCAGCAGGTTGAAGGAGGTAATCCTGCCCCTTTGCTCTGCTCTTGTGAGACCTCACTTGGAGTACTTGTACAGTTCTGGTGTCCTCAACATAAAAATTACATGGATCTGTTGGAACAAGTCCAGAGGAGGGCCACGAGGATGATCAGGGGACTGGAGCACCTCCTGAATGAAGATCAGCTGAGAAAGTTGGGACTGTTCAGCCTGGAGAAGAGAAGGCTGCGTGGAGACCTCATAGCAGCCTTCCAGTATCTGAAGGGGGCCTACAGGGATGCTTGGGAGGGACTCTTCATTAGGGAATGCAGTGATAGGACAAGGGGTAATGGGTTCAAACTTAAACAGGGGAAGTTTAGATTGGATATAGGGAGGAAATTCTTTCCTATTAGGGTGGTGAGGCACTGGAATAGGTTGCCCAGGGAGGTTGTGAATGCTCCATCCCTGGCAGTGTTCAAGGCCAGGTTGGATGAGGCCTTGGGTAATATGGTTTAGAGCGAGGTGTCCCTGCCCATGGCAGGGGGGTTGGAACTTGATGATCTTAAGGTCCTTTCCAACCCTAACTATTCTATGATTCTATAATTACATACACACAAGTACTCCTTATCTGCCAATCTGAAGCACTGCATGAAAAGAAACTACAAGCTCTACGACTGTGCACAGAGATACTCCTTTGCACAAGGAATAAAGGTCAATCTGAATTTATTTACCTGCAGAGTTAACACTAACAAAACAGGTACACCAGTTTCCCCTCATAAGAGATAATCAAAAGAGGTGATCAAAAGAAGCCCCTAAAAGTTTCCCCACTGGCTCTGGTAGCTTTGCAAAGCATCTAAGAACCAGCTCATCTCAAAGAAGCATCACATGGAATTTTGTTTTTTTTTTGGCCTTTTCAATTCTTTTTAAGCAACTGAAGGTTTGTTCCAAAATTTCAAAAAGTTGTTTTACATGAATAGTGACAGTGGGTTAAGTGTTCTCTGTTTTATCCTAAGTGATGCTTCTGCATAATACCCAGACTTCCCTAAGCTTCACATCTAAATTTCATAACGAGTTTGCACACTTAATTGAACAGAAACTTCTATATAGCCCATTCTGCAAAAATTCTGCAACAGTAGACTTCCCATTTCCTTACGAGATCTAGTTAACTGCCAGCAACATACTTTTTTGAAAGCCCCAAGAATACAGCAAGTTTATCCAATGACTCCAAGCAATCTGACATCACTCCTTTACCCAAATCTATTCATCAGCTCCTCCTTCATACCTCTGTTCAGAAACATTGAAGTTTAAAGAGAAAAACATACTAGACAGTAAAAAACATACCTCTGCAGTTAAATTTGGCTGTGTCATAATGTCTTTCAGCACATCTAAAAAAGAAAAATAGACAAGAGTTCAAGACAAGTCTCTGAGGCATTCCCAACATCTGTCACACCCAGGCACATACAGATCAACATATGGAAAATCATGTATACCCATCACCTTTACGATTTAAAAATGCAGCTAGAGGTTACGTGCAGAAAAACTGTTGTTTTGGGTTTTTTTTTTTTTTACAGATGTGTAAAGTTGCTCACTAAAATATCAGTTATTTTACTGAAAAACAATTACTTACCTATGGTAACTGTAGTCCATCAGTATAACTCAATGGAGATATTCATACAAGTAATGCAATACACTATTACTTTTTAACACTGTAGTATTAACAGTTCCAGCTGCTTGAGCAGCTATATGCTCCCACACAAACACAAAGAGTAGACAGCTATGACCTTCATCCATTTGACCCTGAACTCAAAACACACATCAATATGCTTCAACAAAAACATGGGTGCTACGGGTGATGGGACTCACAAGGACATTTCAAGGACCCTCAGAGAGCGTAACCTAAGCAAACATTCCTCCTCAAATTACAGGACCACCACCACAAGACAGCACACGCAACTGAAAGCACCACTCAGTATTATAATGGAGATCAGTGCATCAAGCAGATTGTGATACTGCTTTCCAACTTGGCACTTCTTCTTGAAATCGGGTGAACACACACGCACAAAAAAAAAACCAAACACCAAAAAACCACAACCAACCCAAAAAAAACAGGCCAGTCAGTCAGTTTTCCCCTCACAGATCCTGGCAAATGGCACATTTCTTAAGACTCTTGACTGCATCAATGTCTATCTCATCACTCTGCAAGAGACTAACTGGCTAGTAGCACAGCAAACCAGACTGCACTGGTCTTGCAGGATGACTCGCCTAGGGACAAACATCGGGAACTAGATATAAACGATCCATTCAGTAGGGTCTAACACAGCCAATATAGCATCCTGTAAGGGAGCAAGCTGGATCAGATGCTGTGGGGAAAGAAGGCAAGTGCAAGCTCTACATAATTTTCCTTGGAGCTGCTCTCTGCAGGCAAAATGAATCATCCCTACAAAATGTATGTGAAAATGCAGCTGAGAAAGAAAAATAACAATCCTGCCTCAAAATAACAGACTCCACATTGAAACACAATGATCTGAAGTCATTTCAGCAGATGAAATATCTAGATCTTCTGATTATATGCTGTACTCTTTATAGGTTTCAAATACCTACACCAGTTTCAAGGCTGGTATGAATGTATGTTTCCTTAATAAGTACGACTGCAGCCTTTGGACCTGTGTGAAGCTTACTTGACTCTTACAGACATACAAACTTTTAAGCTCCTACTACTCCTGCTGCTGTACACAACTGGAGCCTTACATGTGCTACATTGAGCTTTGTCCACCAGACCCATACACCAGGCACAGACACAGGTCTGCTGGGGTTGCATGTGCACTCAGCACTTCCCTTTCTCTGAGTTCCAGAGCCTTCTCAACTGTAGCCTCTGCTAGGGAAAAGTCTGGCAGTTTTCACACTCTGATCACATTGCTGACACCCTCTCTGGGTCAGAAGTGATACACTGCAGGTTAAGCTGACAGATGGGACTCAAAACAATGTTATTTATGTTCGAGGCTTTGAGAAGGTTAGATGTAGTATGTACATCCAAGATGGAGTCATCATGCCTGAAGCAGCCATCAACTATGCTGGGCAAAGCCTGTTACAAGCCAGTCAGGATCTGAACTTTGGAAGTTGAGCCTGCTAGGAAGCAAAGCAGTTAACAGAAAGCATCTTATCCTAGAAAGTTTCCTGCTTCCTTCTAAAGAAACACACAGTTCAAAGGGGTAGTAAAAGATGAAAGTCTCCAAAAATTTAAAAAACAAAACAACAAAAAAAACCCCGACACACCAACAAAAACCAACAACAAGAACAACAGAAAAACAAAACAAAACAAAACAAAACAAAAACCCCACATATGGGCAAAAAAGCCTTCAAATTTTGAAGTCTGAATGCCAAGTAGAATACCAAAGGGGATAAAAAGCAGTTTTGTTGATACCAAGGATAGAAACTCAGCACAGAACATAGCCAGGTCACACTATGCCCTCTTATGGGGGCTGTACACAACAAATGCAGAGCTCCAGTCACAGCTGTACACAATATACCGCAGTTTCATTACATGACATCATGTAGTTCCAACCCCCCTGCAACAGGAAGGGACACCTTCCACTAGAAGTGTATCTGCAGCAGAGAACTCACCAACACACACTTTGGCAGATGCGTTCATTGCTTAGCATTTCAAATACATTATTTTTTATAAACACTATTAGACATAAATAAAGTCAGATCTCCAGAATAAACCTGGACATTTTGTTTGTATTTTGAGTGTTGGGAGTGGGTTAGCAGGGTTCTTGTAATCCTCCTTATGATTAAAGCAAGTTTAAAGCAACCCAGATCCTAAGTGCTGTCAGCCAGATTCCTTTGTGACCGTAACTATGATCCCACTGACAACAGGACTATACGCTATAGAGATGACAGCCTACGCAAAGCCCAACCTCATATACAGAGAGGTACAGAAAATACGCAGATAAAATCCACGTTGTTCATTACAGGCCCTTTCTTTAACTATCTGCCTGTAGGTCAGTTAAACTAAATACTCTTGAGAAGGAAGAGATTATTACAATAGGGAAGACAACAGTTTGGCAGTATGTGAAGTTGGGAGATAATAAAATAACGAATACTGGAGAAACAGCAGTGTTAAGGGAACACATGAGAAAACTAACACAAGCAAGAAACAAAATGAAACTGCTCAAATAGTCACTGGAAATTTAAAAGTCAAGATGCAAGAATGAGCCATAACTGACATCATTTAAGCATCAGTTCAGAAAAATCTCTTTAAATACTTTAAAATAGAACTGCTCAATACACACTTTATTATCAACTTCATGTAACAGCTACCTTACGGGAACTGAAACCCCATGACAGTGTTTGAAATAATTCTGAACATAATCACGTAACTCCTCTGAACACCCACCTCCTTCTTTTGAACACAGACAATAGGTTGATTACTTACAAAGGATCAGCTTAATCTAAAGAGATGCTGTTCTCCAAAACACCTGAAGGCTGCAATTTCTTCCCGTCTCATGACCAAACATTACAATTCAACTAATGGCATTTGTGTAATTAATGTGTATAATTTTTGCCTGCATAGAGTTCACCTGTCCCCTCCAGTCAGAGATACACAGTTTAAAAGCTATGCTTTCCAAGCTGTGCAGTAATCGCTTGAATCTTCATTTGCAACTGATCCATGTTTTGGGGAAGAAGAAAACCTGCACACTTTAAAAGGATGTTCTATCCTGCAGGAATTTTCATTTGAGGGTGGATATAGTAATTTTAGAAAGTTTCACTTGTAATTGAAGTTAGCAACGAGTAAAATCGATGGGTTCCTGCACCGAAAATGGAAAAGTTAAAATTTTTATATGAAGAACTTGAAGACAAAAACCTGTGGCACACCTGGACAAGTTCTTTACACAGTTGAAATACAGCAACATAAATGTCAAAAGCATTTGTCTCAATCACAGTTCTTCTCACTTTAAAGTTGTTCCTGTGTGGGTGATTGGTTTTGTTTTCTAAAAATCAAGTTGTAAGCATGCAGCAAAGCAGAAACATTTCAAATCACCACCTCCCTGAGGAGCTACTAGCTAAGATACAGATGTCCTACTGAATTCCTACCTTCTGACTAGGCCTAGAAGTTCACACAGAGCAACCTATTGCTTTTACCTGTCACCTCTACAGCCAATTCGAAACAATCGGCTCGGTATCACACAGCTCAGCAAACCCTGATCTTGCAAGAGATACCAGAGCCACACTTCGCAGAAGCTGACAGCTGAACTCAGCCCCAAGAAGCAGGAGGAAATTCAGTTATATCTGTCCTGTTCTGCTTTGTTCCCCAAACCAAGCAGAAGCTGTCAGGAGACTTTGGGGGGTGGGGTGTCTAATAAACCCGCATTTGTTAGATTTTACATAACAGATCTCTAGTGCTGAGCTCCAGAAGAATTCAAAGACAGATACCCAGGTATCCAGAAAGTTACCTCTTTAGAGAGCTGCACCTACACAAAGGAGCAGCTATCAGTTATTTTAGGAAGCACTGTCCTTTCCACCCATAAGTGCCACCAAGACAGCATTTATTAAAAGTCTAACATTCTGGAGAGCTTCTGTGCTGGAGAATATAGTTTTGTCACTGAACTGCATGAAGAGTGTCTAATGATGTGGGGTTAATGCACATTTTTATACATCTTTTTCTGTCCTATCCTACCCCAGGTTTTACAGACAACTTTGATAACCAATATACAATTTCTCAGCTTATGACTTTGTTCCAACATCAGGAAACAGAGTTGCTTAACGTATAGCCCTTCAAATACTTTAGAGGCATATTTAAATACTTATTTTTAATGACTGACAGATTATGACATAAGGCATTGCCTGGATTTTCATACTACAGCATTTTTGCATGAACTGCAGATATTTGGGAACATGTTTTTTTTTTTTTAAGTAAATCCATTAACAGCTCAAAAAATCAATAAATCTTCAATTTAGATTTCTAGGGGGAAAATGTGGGGTAGAAAATCATGACCTACTTTTCAGTATCAGCTGACACCACCAAATCACTTATACAAATGAAATTAGTCTAAGCTAACATGTAAGGATGATCAAGGCACACCACCACCAAAAAAAAAAAAAAATATCCCTTCTGTAAGAAGAACAGCTTTCTGCATAACTAAATCTTGAGAGCAAAATATTGCACTTCCTAAAGTGAGAAACCATCACATTACCAATTGCTGCAATAGCTTTCTCAAACAGGGACAATCAAGAAGACTGAGGAAGCAAACAGAACCCGAGTACCAATACAGTTTGATTTAAAAAAAAAGAAAGAAAAAATAAACAGGAAAATATTCATTTGGCAATTTCTTCACTGTGGACATCAATACATTGACAGAAAGCCTGCTATGAATTATTTCTCACTTTTTAATCACATGGTATAAGCTCCAGATGGGCTAGATGCCAAGTCATTTAAAAGCGTTCAAGTAATATGAATACACACCAGCATTTCATTTAACCTCACTCAGCTCCACTAAATGAAGTAACAGCGCTCTCAATCAGGCTTAATTGTTTCAAGAAACGTGCAAAACATCTCTAGCTCTGCTTCAGTACAGCAACAAACCACTTTCATGCATTGGCTATTTTTAGAACTCATTATTTTGTAAAATACATCTATAAGAGCATACTTACAGATTGTATATCTTGTAATGGTTTTTATGCTTTGAATCCAGAAACCTTAGGTAGAAAATAAAAAAGCATGTATTAATATACATCAAAATAATGTTGACCTCAATTTGCAGCATCATTAAAGCACCATCCGGCATGTGCAGTTCAGCATTCCAAGTCCCAGCTGGCCCTGCAGTGCCTCAGTCAAGGAAGCAGTATGTTGCAAACCTCACTCATACAAATAATGCAGTAATGTAAGACAATTTTTGCAACTGAGGAGACTAAAATCTGACCTGCAACTGAAATATTTATTATATGGACGAATCTGCACTGATTTCTAAGATACCTACACACCAATAAATATATTTACCTGAAGAATGGTTGTTTATTTTTAAAGCACAAAGCATCAAGTACACAATATATTTGTGAACACTTCCAGTTTAATTTTCAATGCAAAGTATTCTGCCACAGTGGTATCTCCAATTAAGAAAAAGAATACTGGAATATGAATTTTATTCCAGTTAGAACAGCCAGAATCTTTATTTTAATACCAGGCTTTTAAAACAGCCATTACTTGCCACTGAAGTTTGAGGACAGTGCCTCTGAGCTCAGAAAGGAGGAAGACCACTACACTTTCACACTCACTTCATCTTCATGCTTACTTTGTAACAAAAACTTCCTATACAAGCTTTGAAGAGCCGAACTGCAAACATGATTCATCAGAAATGCCATGATTATATATAATGTGTCACCTGGCAATGTTCACGAAGAAATAACATACAAATGTTTACACTTAACATCATCAACAGTGTGTATCTGCACATCAGCCAGAAGGAATTTAATTAGCCATGACAGAACATGCTGTTCAAATTGAAAAGAAACACTAGCTGCTAAAATCCTGGAAAGCTCAAGCAAAACCAAGCTCTGGTTATCAGTCATAATATTCCAGAAGAACCTAGAACTCCTCTGCAGCTAAACTGATGTGGTAAAACATGAACAGATGTGAATGCTCCTAGTGCAGCACTGAGTATGAGATTTCAATTTAATCTGCAAAAGTATTCCACTGGCATCCTTGTTGGCAGACTTCGAACGATTCAGGAAGATGGTGGACATGGCAATTTGCTTCAGGAGATGAAGCCACTTTTCAAAACACACTGGAGAGCAAGAGAGGTGACTCTACTTCTGCTAGTAATATCCACAAAACTGAGTGTAAGCTTTCATGCAAGTATTTTCCTAAGGACAAGATTCCATCCAAACTGTCTCAAAGTGCCAGTCACAGGAGACAGCCAGCAGTTCTAGTCATACTTCTCATACAGTATTAGCATTACATTTCATCAGGGTAACAGTGACTCAGAAAAAGCCCACTGGCTTATTGCGGCTCGGTATCAATTGCTCCAGAGTTCAAACACATTGAAGTTCTGCATAAATAAGCTCTTGAAAAGCAGAACGCATGCTCACATTTTGTGCATTATTCTCATTTAAAAAAGGGGGGGCAACAAACATAGCACTACTTCAGCATCCAGTTCCCTGTAGCCCTACAGATTTAAATCTCTACCTTATTTTGGCTGATTATACTTTAAGGTGACCATTAATTCCTTTTGATCAGTGTTTATGGACAACTTTATTATGTGGTCATTTCCTTTCAAAAGTCTAACTTACACATATCTACATACTTAACCAATACATTTTTCTCCATACAGAAGCAACTGAAATCAATGCTATGAATGGAAGAGGGCCTTCAAAGACCTATTATTATTTAGATTATTCCCATGCCATTTATTCCAAGTCCAGCCTTTACCCCTATCCTACAATTTCCAAAGATGGAGTCCATCAGGGACAACATATTACACACAGCAGATGCAGTGCCAGTATCAACTTAAAGAGAAGAAGGCTCTGACTGCTAGTAAAGAAAGATGACTAGATAGTTTGTCTGTGGACAGCCCTTAACTATCTGGAAATCACAGCAAAAGCTTTTTCTTGTGTGCAAGCTGTGTGCAATGACAACTGCAAAACTTCACACCTCTTAACAGTCCTAGCAGAAATATACACACTCTGCAAGAGCATTTACAGACTGCTATGCTGAACCTCACTGATATGATCAGCTCTGGAAAAGTGACTTCTCCTTACTACCATGTGATAGAACAAGGTCACTTCTGCAAGCCTGGTCAAATCCAGGCCCTGACATTTTCAGTGCTATTCATGGATAGTGAGCTTCGCCATGGTGGTTAAATATGCAAGAACAAACCCCCTCAAACTCACTGGAAGCTAACTGCAGCTGCACTGGGAAGTCACTGCCTCGAGATAAATGATTCTCAGTTGAAGGTTATGATTCCTCCCAGTGTGGGAACTGAGGAGCTACCTCAGCTCATTTCTGTACAAAACCTTACTGCATTATTCCCCCATGCCCAAATATCAAGCCTCTGGGAGAGCTACTGAACTTGTGACCTCAAATGCCAAAGATCCTAAAAGTATCACACATGACTTAAAATCAGACCTTGGGATCCTAAAAACACTAACATTTCACAGCTTCTGACAAATACTTAGTTTTCAATGCAACCTCTCACTCTACAGGTAGCATGTTGACTAAACAAATTGTGATGCTCCTAACACACCAAGTACACCTCCCACAGCTGTAAGCAGCAGTTCAGAGTAGGTAACTTTATTTGATGTTAAAAACCACAACCTATAGGTTTTTTTTAAAAAACATGCTACAAAACATCACCAGCAGTAACAATTTTTACCTGATTTTTCTCCTCTTCCACAATTATTGAACACATCCAGATGTAAAAGTCTTTATCTAAAATCACCTACATTTACTACCTTAAATCAAAATTACTTACCAAGCACTTCATTTATCAATTGAAGAAAGGATGTGGGAAACATATTCTGAAATGCCCTCAGCTACCTGAGGAACTCTCAACACTGTTAACAGAGGCATGGACTGACATCTTTCAAAAAGTAAAGAACCTTGTTTTACTCCAACACAATTCACTGAAATAAATTTTTCACAATAAAGCAGATTACATGCGTTTGAGATCAACCTGTAGCAGCTGCCTGGCCTGTAAGTCCTGAAAATATGATTTTGTTTCTAACATTTTCGGGAAAGCTAGTATGGCAACATCTATGAGATGTAAAAATCTTGCCATTTTTATGAGTCAGAGCACACATCCTCCTTTCTTGAGTAGAACACAAATGAGTACAGAAAAGAATATTTAACATTTATAAGAGTATGAAAAAAAATAATCTTACCTTACTACATCGTCAATGTTGTTCCTGTATACTCCTTCAAGCCTCTCCGCAGGAAAACCCATAGCAATTATGTTTGGATAAATATCTGATATGCAAATTATGGAAACATTTGTAAAGCATGTGAAATTTCTACAGCAGCATTAAATGGACATTAATCAAATGTTTAACTGTATCCAAGTCAGAGCAACAACTCCAACCAACTCCCATATACAAACAATTCATCTTTACATATGCTATATAAAGCTATGTAAGGGATCTTAAGAAAAAAAAAAAAAAAGCTGAGGAAAAGGTTGGGGGAGAGAGGGAATAAGAAGGGTAACACAGTACTTTGACCAGAGCCACTATAACAGAAATGTCCTCACATCTCAAACAGGTAACTTATTAAAAGCCTATGCTATGATGTAGCTAACAGCTGACATCCATTAGGAAGGCGATCCATTAGAAAAGCAGAGTCAAGTAATCCACTTCTATCATACATCATCTCACTAGAATCAAGTAGATGCTGCATACTGGTCTTTCTCTACAGTTTGAGTGGCATATTAAATCCGATGGGAAACTATTAAAATAGTCTTGTGTGACTAAACTGTAAGATGTGCCAAATTAAAACCCACGTTCACATCCCAGTGATCTCAAAATAGGTGTATCACACGAAACAGCAAAACTAACAAAAAAAAAAAAAAAGCAAGCTCATTTCGGGCATGAAAGCTCTGGCGAGGCTATACTGGGTTTGTCACTTTCCATGATTTCTACATAACAGACCAATATAGCAGCTGCTAAGGTAGCTGTGAATGCCTAAATGCAAGATAACCACAGTAGATGGGAATGTACAGATCTGAAAAGGAATCTGTATCTTGTTTATTTAAAAGACAAACAACTCCCCACTCCTGGAAAAATATTCTGACCTACCTGTCAGAACAGAACTCAAGAAAAGAAAGTACTCTCTCAAGTTTTAAACACTATTAGAAATTATAATGTAGTGAAGAAGCTTCACTGAAAAGCAAAACAGAAATGAAACCAGCAGCTCTAAAACAGACCATACTCATACACATTAACATACTCCTCCTCAAACTAATTTTAGAAGGAGCAAGAACAAAGCATGGTATGTTTGAAATTGGCCCCACTTTAAACAAGGGGGCTGAAACGGTGACTTCCACACATCCCTTTCAACCTAAATTATGCCACAATTAAAAGAATCATGTTTATGGTTAAAACATAACAAATCTCCAAAAGTAATCTTTGGAATGGAAAATACTGCAGCTGTTTCAATATTCCAATTACTTGCACATAAAGAAAAGCCTGAACTAGGACACAAAGTACTTTACTCCATCCTTGCAGAATTCCCAAAAGCCTAAGTACTCACAGGGAAGCAGCATGGACCAAGTTCCACACTTACACAGTTAACTAGAAGACTTGAGGAAAACGTTAAGAACCAAATACATGGAAATAATGTTTTCTACCCTCAAAAAAAAAAATAAATAGCATTTACTATGTTGTAATCCAAGTATTAATAGCTATTGCTCTGCTTGGGCTAATCAAAATACAATTAATGCACTGAGAAGAACGTGAAAACTTTCGAGAAATCCAGATAAATACCTACAGCTGCCTTAAATACTGACACTGAAAGGGGTTCTCATCTGGTTGCCAGGTTTTATTGTACTTCGCCAAACCCTAAGAAAAGCTTATGTTGGAGGAAGAAAAAAAGCACAGCTGCTTGACTTTCAGAGTGTTTGATAACTCCAGATACTATCAAATCACATAAATCTTAAACTTCGACACTACTCTGAACACACTGTACTCCGCAAACAGTCCGCACCTCTTTGTTAAATTAACAAAAGACACTATATAATTAGCAACATATTCTATCAGTTACTACTTGCCATAAGCAGAAGAAACTGGTTATAAACCATGTGCACCTGCTCTATGCCTACTAAAAGTGAATTACCTTTCAGCTAGCACTCCCCATCACTCCCTCTTCATTCCCGAATTTTAAACTGACTTCCACCTACTGTCAGCTCCAGTGTTCACACTCAAAAGCACCTCCAATTGTGTCCTGCTCCAAGCAGCAAGGCTATATAAACTACCAGAGCAAAATAATCCAGTGTATTTGCCTGCTCTCCACAGCACTTCTCCATAGAAGACAAGCATTCATGCCAGCAAGAGAAGTAAAATAAATTCATTTTGACACACTCATCAAAACAAATCTCAGTTTCAACTACAGCATCACCCATGAGACGGATGCCCAAACTTCACCAAATTACCATGTAACTTGCTCAAATTTCCATTTGCAATCCTGAGCTTTACTACACATGTTTTTTTCATGCGTTTCAGCCTGCAATTTTATCAGTGCTTTTATCCTGCTGTTGACTTTTCCTCTCTAAGAGGTTAAGAGACAAGATACCTTCCAGGATTCCTAGCAGGAGCAAGATGGAAGCAAAGCAGGCAGATACCCCAAGCGAAGGAAAGAGAACATCTTAGCAGCAGCACTTCCAAGTTTGCAGCCTCACAGACTTGTCCAAACACCAAAGCCTCAAAACACACGAGAGACATTAAAAGTACCAAGATAACCAGGGCAGTCTCACACTTTTGGAAAAAAGTGATCCCCTTTTGGCTCCCACATCGCATGTGACCCCTCTCTCCTCCCTCACTCCTCGGGGGCAACGCATGTGCAGTACACACACAGCCCACATGCATTTCTTTTAAATAGGAAGCTGGCAAGAACTGAATGCTCTAAGCTTAACTGTGCGTTGCTACAGGTACAATTTTTAAACCCAGAGGAGCTGGTGTTGCAAAAGATGTTCCACAATACACCAGTAAGAAAATGGATAACAAGTCGGGGGGGGGGGGGGAAGTGTAGCATAAACCAATTTACTGATGCTGATTCAATAAGTGTTGTACATTCTAGGGCTTTGCAATCTGACAGCAGAAAACTGAAGTTCTGCTGAAAAACAAGTTTCCAAGGGGGCAAGGGGCTGGATTTAGTAAAACATGACTGCTTTTAAAATTAATTTCTCCTTCACCTAAATAACAAGCATCCTAAAGTACCTTACTTATTATCTCAAAGTATTAGACTGGAATGTAATTCCCAGGCCACTGCTGACTCACTCTTCTGTCTGCAACAAATCTGGCATTAAAGGACACTGGCCACAGGGAGCAAACGGTACCTTTCCATGGCAGGCATGTAAGGCTGCAGGCTTCACCTGCAGTGATCAAAAGCAAGCCAACAACTATGACAAATGCTTTTGCATTGCTGGTGAAGATCATTTTATGTCTTACTATATGCTCTGGCAAGCATGCTAAAGCAGCATGTTGCTTTGAAACTCTTGTTGTTGGTTCAAGCAACTGAGGAATGCCTTTTGCTTTAAGGATGGAAGAACAGAGTGGAAGTGCTGTGGCTATTTGCACAGATGATCTAAACCTCTGAGCAGAAATAGCAGCTTCGTCACTTAATTGAAAAAGCTGACAAAACCCAAGCTCTTCCACCCTTTCCTCTCTTGCAAAAAGATGTCCCAGGATCTGCAGCAAGTGAAGGGGATGGTTGATACCACATCACTACTAGCTTGCTTTATTCCTGATGCTGGGGAATGAAACAGTCCTCCTCAGGGACAGCCAGTGATCACTGCAGGAAGAGTACAGAGCTTAACCAGTTATGGGAGCAAAGACATCCACTGAGCATCATCTTCATCAAGTTCTTTTGTCTCCAGCTGCACTCAGTGGCTGGAAGACATTGCTTTTCATACCTCAATTAATTTAACATTGATTTCCAAAGCTGAAATTAAGATATTCACTAACAAGACAAAACTCGCACAACGGAGTTTCGAAGCTGGGCTTAAATTCAAAGAAAGAATTCTGAGTCATCATTGAACTGCTAATGATACTGATAAACTTAGCAACCTGGAAGAACTGATCATTTAAAACATGCAACAAGTTCATTATCACTTCCAAGCTCGGGAGGGGGGGGGGGGAGTGTGTGTTGGGTTTTCTTGGTTGAGTTTTGTTTGTTTGGGGTGTTTTTTGGCTTGGGTTTGCTTTTTTTTTGTTTGCCTTTTTTTTTGGGGGGGGGGTTGTGTGGTTTTGTTTGTTTTTAGTTGGTTGGTTTTGGGTTTTTTGGTGGTTTTTTTTTTTTTCAAGACAAGTGAAATAAAAACGGAAAAAGCCTCAGCCATTTAGAGGCAGTTCTACAACCCATGCAAAATGAAGTTAACCAAACTGTTGCCAATTACCAAAAATTGAAGTGGACTTTCTAAAAAACATAAAATACATCCTGCCACGTTTTGCCAAAGTAGCTCTCTCCTAGGAAACCCATTCTTGGAAATGGTTTCAACTGTTTTTAAAGCACTCATTCCTTTGTCAATCTCTTAAACATGGAGGCTGGGACTGTAGCTGGTGGTTAGAACAAAAAACCCAAACACATGAGACAGATACAAGCTATGTAACAGCCAAATATTAAAATGCCATCCTCAAGTTCATGCTGCTTATTAAGTACAAAACTGCAGCTTTCAAATGAACACAGACACTTCATTATACCCAAGTAACCTTAAAATGAATGCAATACAATAAGTTACCAAATGCTAAGACAAAAAAAAGTGATGCTTTATCAATACTGAAGACATACTAAAGCAAACAATCCACACACCACTTCAGAAATGCCTTTGCTCTAATACTGTCTGCAGATTGAACAAAACACTATTCGTGAAATCTGAAGTAATTCCCACATGCTAAAGATGATAGTCTCTCCAGTTGCTATGAGAAAAATCCTGTACCATTATGCAAATTGGCAGTTATAATCATTTTTAAAAATAGCTGTCTATATATTCCCATTATGCCAAGATCAAATTAAAGAATATGCAGTACAAACTTTAAATTTTACATACATATAGATATAAAAGCAAATTACTTGTGTTGGTGCTATAAATGATTGTGATCACAAATTCAGCATTTTTCCTAATATTGGAAGGAGGCCAAAAAAGCATACCAAAATATTTACCAATTCTTAAGTTCTGTAACAGTCACAAAAAAATGCAAAAAACAGACAGTTATAGCCTTTCCTGCAATGATCAACATTCTCAAATAGTATCTATAGCATTG